TACCTGTGAAACTAAATTAGGATAGTGACATTTTTAGGTCATTGGTAGGTACATACAAGAATACCAGATATTTTATAGTTCTGATCACTGATAAGCAAACATCACACTCCTCATCCCTACTCCAACCGTGACTCTATCTCCAGTATCCCCACCTGGTGTTAGGACCTATTTTGGCCTTCTGGATTAACTTCTAATTTTCTGGTTAGAATCAGTACAATATTCAAAATTGCATTTTACACCTTTGGTTGATTAACTGTTTAAAAATATTTGTGAGAATCTCATGTGCTAAGTACTGTGCTAAATCCTAGGATTCAAGCACAAATATAATAAGGTAAACTTTGCTTTTACACTTAGAAGCTGTGGTCCAGAGAAAGTGAGTTATGTAAACTAAAAAAAGTTCAGGTTACTTTATGGAATGAGTAGAGGAAACTAATCTAGGATAGAAGGCAAAATTAGGGTTTTTATTTGCAAATGAAATTTAAGCAGAGATCTTACTAAGGTTTATATCAGCATTTTTTTTTTTGTACCAGGGCTCAAACTCACAACCTCACGTTTGCCAGGCCAGGGCTTAAGCCACTGAGCTAAATCCCCAACCCCTATATCAGGATTTAAGTGAGACAACTCACTCTAGGAATGCCCTGCACTCTGCTCCATTGGACCTTTAGCTTTCCTGGACCTTACTGCTCACTAAACACAGAAATACATGAAAACCACCAAGATCCAAAAGCTCATGGCTTTTGGCACAACTGTGGCTAAAAGGAGAAGGAGGAGTAATTAAAATGAGCAAAGAAAGAAGGGTAGTAAACAGCATTTGGGGGATCTGTTTTGGTGGGAGCAACAAGATAAAAGCCTGAGAAGAGACTCAAGGGGCTGACCTCTGTGTAGGATGCTCCACTTAGAGTTGAGGACAATTGAACGCTTTTAAAGATTTTGAAGCAGGCGATTTAAAAGGATCAAGTTTGCTTCTTATCTGTAAAGTCACTTCATGCAAAAGTCTGATTTCCATTTGGGACGATGTACTAATATTTCCTGTCATTTACATATTTTGCTAGTTTTTATTCAACATGTGTAGTTCTGCTATATTTTCTTAGCAATGAGAGCCTGGGCCACTTCACCGGAGAGTGTGCAATGCACTGCTCTTCCCAACAATAACAGCTAATTGGAATTATAGTTATAAAACTGTTCTTCCTTTGACTTCTACTTCGTTACATTTTACCCTCATTACTGGTGATTATGTTCACCACCAAAAAGAGAACAGATCATTTTTAAAAAATTAAAAACAGAAGTTTAAGTTGATGTGATGAACTGTACATTCACAATTGCAGAAAGGATTATACAGAAGTACTACAAAGTAGTAACTCTTACATTTTTTGTAGATTATGGTTCTGAGCAGTTCAAACTTTCTTCTCTTTTATGGAACAACTGAGTAAGGTAGCATTTGGATCTAGATCTTCCTACAAATTTGTGTGATTTTTCACTGAAATTTCTACTTGATCAAGTTTTCTGGAAATGTTGCTGTTGCCTCTTAGACTGAATTCTTAGGATAGTGGAACTGACTGAAATGAATGTTATTAAATTTTTATTAAATAAATTTCATATTTTGAAAGATCCACACTTGTGGAGCCCTTTGAATATTCAGAGAAGAGAAAAGCAATAGTATCAATGCCACAAAAATCATTGTTTCTAAAATTGAGGGGGAATATACTTAAATTAACCCTACACATAAGAAATATAATATCATCCTTTATAAACCCTAATGACAGAGAACTTTCTTTAATATGTAGGAATTAAACTAACTTCCAGAATCACAAGAAACTTCTGAATAGGAAGTTTTATCTGATATTAAGATGGCATACGAAATACAGAATTTTATTTTTTGTTTTTGGTACAGGGGATCAAACTCATGACTGCGTGCTTGCAAGGCAGGTGCTTATGCCACTGAGCTAAATCCCCAGCCCCAAAAGGGAATGTTTTTGAGGCTCTGATTAACTTATAACTGGCAGCCAAGCGCAGGACTTTTTAAAACCTATTTTATGAAGGGCTTGATGTCATCGTTCTTTGCTAATAGTTCTGCCATCACAGATGATGAGTCAGGGTGTAGCATCTAAGTTGTCATACTGGGCAATATGTTAGCGGTAGCAGAAGAATTGAAGACAGCAGAGAAAAGAATTGTAACTATAACAGGAAAATTAGTAGACTAAAGCATACACGTCCATACGACAATGGAAGCAGAAAACTATTTCATATTTATTCTCAAGAGGAATAAGAGATTTTTGGCACATTGATTTTACATGGTGTTGCAAATATATGAAAGAGATTTAAGTGTTTAGTGAAAGAGATAATTATGTGCTAGAACAACTGATACTTAATTCATTTTATCAGTATTTCCACTTGTATCACAAAATTTAAAATTTATTTCTATGGACTCAAAAAGTGTATAAAATGGTATTTATGAAAGATTTTCTCAACATATCTATCAAGGTTCATATTTTCCACATTTCAGATATAATTGAATGAGCACTCTTTCATTTTCACTTATATCTTCATTTTATCTCAAAATGTGCACATCATAAGCCAAATTAAAAGCAGAATATGCTGCTGAAGTAAGTCAATGTATTTATTGAGGTAAATATAGTAAAATATCAAAAAACCACTGTCTAAACAAGATCAGAGGCCACCAAATCTATTGTACCTACAATGAGAACATAATAGTACAATTGTTTGATAGCTTTTGATACATGATTTTTTAATTGCCAATATTTAAAAAGCACAATTCTGGGACTAGTGATTTTGGTGCACTGAACTTTTGATCAAATCAATATTGCATATGAAACTGGTAACACATTTTTAGCAATGGAATAGGGAGTCCCTCTATATCACTGCTTTGAATGGAGACTCCACAAAAGACTGTAATTAAACAATTCGGTTTCATTAGTCATGCAGATTTTAGATTTGACCATAGTTAAGTAATATGGTTGTTATAAGTCATGCAGATTTTAGATTTAGAGCTTCTTAGGCCTGACAAGCCTAAGCCTATAGTCCTAAAAATGTCTTAAAGTAAAATTTAAAGTGACAGTGTCAAAGCGCAAATTTTTCCTTCTTAATACAAAAGCAATCAGTCAATTTAATCGGTTCAATAATGATGATTCTAAAACAAAACTAGTCAATGGTCATTGAGTGGCTTTAGGCAGACATAGCTCAAAATTAATTTAGTTTGTGGGTATACTGATATACCCTATTATAAATTCATGAAACTCTACTGTTGAATGACTTTATTATCCTCTTGTGAAAAAACAAAAAGACACATTGATTTAAATTAGTTGATGAAAACCAGATAACTTTGCCCTAACACATTAAATAAACACAAAAAGCACTTTTCAAATTTCTTAAAGGCATATGCCTACATCCACAATAATAAATCTTTATATATACATCAATTATGGAAAGCAGGACAAATACTAATTAAACAAAGTCCTAGTTTGGGGTCTGAGTTATGGCTTTTCCAGTCCAGATAGGCACGCACTCATTAGATTAGAACACAAACAATCTGATGACCACCAGTGCTTAATTTACATTTGTGCTAATTAATTTTTGAGCTAGTACCTGTTTGGATAGGATTACTTGTTTCTCTAGAGAATTACCACACACACACACACAAAAAAAACCTGTAGCTTTTAATTCTTCCATGAATCTTGGAAACAGATTTCCCTCATTCATTCAAATGCTGTAAAAATGGCTTATTTATTAAAACTTAAATCCTGCTGTGTTTACATTATTAATGTACTTTTATAACCAATGCACCACAAGGTCATGTGTTACTTGAAATAGTAAGAAAATATACAAAACATTATTTTAAGTACATACAAACAGAGGAAATTAAACATTTTTATCTCCAAAATTTGATATAATTTTTCTCTCTGCAAAAAGTAGTTATCAAAAACAGTGACATCAAATGCACTCAGATACTGCACTTTACCAAATAGTATGTAAACATAGCATTCATGATGTGAATCCAAGAAAATATTTCATATGATATGTTATTTCTCCAGCTTTGTGATAGCAAAGAAAATACTGGATTTTCTTTTGAAATCTGCAAATACGCTAAGCAATTTCAATGCCTTATAAATATTGCTATTTAACATCTTTCTCCAAGTGACATATCTGATTTTTAAATTATTTCATGCTTAAAGTGAAATATATGGACAGAGTGCATGCCAAAACACTACACAGGAAGTAGAATACACAGGTAAAGGAAAAAACTGGAGAGATGTATAAAGTAAGCTGTAGCTTTGTAATTTAAGCTTGACCCAGGTAATTACATTTCATGCTTGACTTAAATAGAGAACTCTTGAACCATCTTAATAGGGGACTATTCTATACTTGCAGAAAAGGTGAACTGACTCAATTTAAAAGCAAAACTGTACTGAATTTTCTGTGCTGTTAATATTTTTAGCACAGAAACATTTTTTCTTTTAGAAAAATATTTAAGATGATGAATATGCACAATGGAGGAAAATATGAATTATCGTATTAATGCTATCCTTGGTTTCCAAAACCTAGTTACAGTGAAATAATTACCAGTCTTTTCCGTCCTTCAACTTACCTGAGGGAAATTTTGTTTTGGTTAGAACCTGGCAGGTAGCTTTCCTAGTCACCTTTCTGCATAGCTAAAGTACATATCTAAACAGCACACACAGAAGGCATACAAGCAACATGCAGGAGAACAGAGAAAGCCCTGCTCCGGAATCCTCTCACTTCACACAAAACCTGCAGGTGCAAAAAAAAAAAAAAAAAAAAAAAAAAAAAAAAAAAAAAACTCCAGCCTTCAACAAGTTGCTAGGTGAGATGGACATATTTCAGTTTCAACAGAAAAATCTTTCTAAAGAAAACACCAGTTCACAAAAACAGGTAGCACCACAATTAGACACGTTAATGGTCAGATCTTTAGGTGTTGGGGGTAGGGGAGAAATAACACCAGACCAAGCAAAGAGCTTACTCACATTCCTTTCAGGCGCTGCCACATTTTTTCAGTCTGTTCTCCTACAAGAAACTTGTAAGTGGTGTTTTCCACTTCTTCAATTTCCGTAGCCGTGGACCCCATGGTACCGCTCCTAGGCCAATAGAGTTAGAGTCAGGTTCAGCAGCTAGAACAAGCATTCCTCAGTGCCCCTGCAACCCGAGCAGCTACACGGTAGCATCTCTTATCTCTCAAACCCTGCGGAGGTGCAGAGCTGAGCCAAGCTTCTGCCAGAATTGCCAGGACTTTTGACAGGCGTCTCCGCTGGGCACCCCCGCACCTCCCGCAAGCAGACAGCAGTATAAACAGATGTCTCTCCTCACAGGAACGGTCCGCACACGTGAGCTGCTACTGTGCTACCGACCCACCGAGCAGGGCTCTGGCTCTCCCCGGAGCAGCGCATCTGAGCTGCCCCGCGCGCCCAGGCACCTACAGCCCCTGCAGCTTCCCAGCTCTGTGATGCACGGGAGAGACCTGATTGACTTTCGCGCTCCAGAAGAGGCTGAATTCCTCTCCAGCAGCGGGAGGGAAGGAGGGAAGGGAGTATTAAGAGGATAGATGATGGGATCCAGTACCAGCAGCACCACCCTGAGAAAAAGCAAAGCTGCCTGTTTAAATGCCAGCGCTTTCTGTCTCTTAGTTGATCTGAAAACCACACCTAAAATATATGCAACAAAGATTAACGACAGCAAAGAGAAAACACAGAAGACAGACCACAGAGCTCCACAGGTTATTGAAAGGATCTGTGCATCAGTCGATGTTGTAATCGTGCTATTCACCTTCTCCTAGCAACTCGGCTCAGTGGGTGACTGCCAGGTCACCGGGAGAGGGGAGCAGAGCCACCACCGGCCACAGCCTGCTCCTGGGGTCCTTGAAGGATTCAAAAATAAATAAAATGAAGTGAGTGTGAATGCATGTGTGCAAGGATTAAAGGAAGAGAGGGTGTGTGTGTGTGTGTGTGTGTGTGTGTGTGTGTAAGACTGACAGAGAACAGAGAAATTCACTGTGCTGTTTGTGCCTTTTAGAAGAAAAATGAGAGAAAATGGACATAAAAGTGATCAGAACTGAGTTGTCTGCCAAGCTCCCAACACATGGTAAGCTTACTTTGAAACAGGAACAGACCTCAAGTAGGAGCTTCACGATAACTACTGCTGTCTGCAAGCTGCTGAGGAAGACACACTTAAAAGTCATAGCTTGTCTGTGTGGATGGAGCCCCGGATGCAATCTTATTCCTTGCTAGGAGGAAATCTGTCTATTACACTGAGGTCTAAAATACAAGTGATCAAAGATAATGGATAGATAATAATAGCCAATATTTATTAATTACTTCCTATATATCAGATGCTGTTCCCGGTACCTGACATGGATTACTTTTAACTCATATGAAAATGCTGTAGATAGTATTCCTGTTTAACACTGTGCTCAGTGAGCACATAGAAGACAGACATCCTCTAGATTTAAGACCAATTCTTTAGAATAAGCAATGTTGTTATTATGACTTTGACTACTGGCCGCCATCAATGTTGTCCAAACAACAATGATGGCGGCCAGTAGTCAAAGTCATAATAACAAATTTACAGAAAATGACTTCTGATTTACAAGTTGGAGGAGGTTAAATCAAGTAAACTTCAGTTTTCTCTTCTCAGGCAAGTTATTTCCAGAACTCAGTCTTAATTTAATAGTTAGTTTTACATAGTCAAAATCTTACCCCTCTGAGCATTTAACAGTGTCAAGGCTTGCTCTGAAAGTACCAATTTTACTTCCAGTGTGCCTTCACTTAAAACTGTAGCTACATTCATCTAAGACACGCTTACCTAGGGACTGGGGATTTAGCTCAGCGGCATAAGCACCTGCCTTGCAAGCAGGCGGTCGATCCCTGGTACCGATAAAAATGAAAAAGACAAAAAAAAATATTGGTGACAAGATACACTTACCTGATTTTCTTTAATAAGGTAGTCAACAAAACATCTGAATTCTGCTAAGATGAATCGTAGGGAAAATCTGTATTCAAAAAGCAAGTACTCTACCCTTATTATCTTGTCAACTAAAATACTAAAGTCCTTGAAGCTATAATGTGGCCTAAAAATGATTTTAAAGACACACTTGCACTGGTCAGAATGCTGATAACACTGCAAGGCAAAAAATAAGGACCGTTCTCCTTACATATGTGTTGGGGAGTCTCACCCCTTCATTACAACTCGTTTGGTTTTTCTACTACATCTCTCCTATCACATATTGATGTGGGAGGATTGGTCACCTGTTACCAAAAAATGCTTTCTTTTTATATGAAATGCTTCATAAAATCAAAATTTGAACAGTAGTCTAAATAAAACAGTTCATTATTTAGATCCTTGACCAAGACCACTTTCAATTTCATGAAGTATCAAAAAGTTACTTCTGATAATGTAAAAAACTGAAAGCATTTTTCTTTTTTGGTTTATAAATAATGTCTGCAAGAAATGTTAAAACGGAAAAATAAAACACATCAAATATAAATCAAAATAAATCAAAAATAAATCATACCAAAAAGAATGAAACAAATCATAATTTTATAAAACACAAGGAATAGTGTACAACTTCTTTTCCGACACACATATTGAGAAAATGTTAAGAAGTTGCATTCATAAAGTTAAGCTAAGTGCAAAAATTCTAACATGAAAAAAAATAAATAGGGCCAAGAAAATACAGCTCAGAGGCACAGAGCCTGCCTGGCAAGCATGAGGTCTTGAATTTGATTCCCGACACCAAATAAATGAATAAATAAATAAGGTAAGAGTGGATTCTTAGAAATCAAAACACATCTATCAACATAGAATGGTCAGTATCGTATCTGGAGTAAAGGGAAGGGAATTACAAAACTAATTTTGAATACATAGGGTATAGACTGATCTAATAGGTCTCTTTCTTTAGTACATGTTTGCAGTATGGGAAGTTGACAATCATCCTGAGAGTGGGTGCATGTATAACACAGCTTGACTTTTTTTATTCCCTTCCCCTTCTCTCTCACCTCCTTCCCTCCTCCTTTAAGTCCCTTTCCCCATTTCCATTTTTGTTGATATTATTAGTCTTAGCTCATGTTTAAGACATGTACTATTTGTATTCATTGAGGTTACTAGGTTCCTGTATGTGACATATCTTGATCTACTGTATCTCTTACATATCATGTCTTTTACATTTCCTTTGCTTTAATTTTGTATTACGTAAATTATCTCTGTTGTAATGAGTTCCTTCATTTCTATATCTAATGACTTATGTCATGATATAGTACTGCATAGATTCTGGATCCAGACTACTTGCTTTTCAACAGTTGTTCTTCTGAAAGAATTATGTTATCTTTTGCAAGTTAATATTCTGCATCTGTTTCTTTGTCATAGAAGGGCATAATAATATCATCTTCATCATGATAGTATTTGACATATTATAATACTATTTCATGAATTTTCTCCTTTAGATTATAGTGTACTTATTTCTTCATTAGGTTTACTGATGATTTCCCAAATCATTTGTCATAGAATATTTTTGTCATAGAACATTGTCATACAATGCTGTTGTTTATTTAGAAACCACATCTTTATTTATAAGTGAAATTGATCTAAGTATTTATGAAACTATCTTTGTTGTCTCTAAAGAAAGGTTTTATTGAAATTACATGCAGGGGATTTGAATTACATGCAAATGATGGGGAAAATAATTTTAAGCCTATGAGTCCATACCCAGCAAACCATCACTCAATGGCAAAGTACACAGAGATTCAAAAGCACGAAATTCAGAAAGCAGACCACTCAGATACTCTATTAACATGAGTTAGTATAGCTGAAAAATAGGGAAAAAATTGACTAATGACTAAAATCAAAGACATAAATCTGAACTATCTGCAGAATTTAAAACTAAAATTGCAGATTGGCATTTGTAAAGAAGAGTTAGGCACTGAGTGTTTAAAATTAGAACAGGAAATCATAAACATAAAAAGATGACTTCAAGAAAAAAGTGGATTAAATGTCTTAAGAACCTTAAAAACCAAAATGATTATTGTATTGATAAAAGCATATTGTTTTTTAATTCACAAGAAAAAAAATCCAGAAAAGATATCAATCTTGACAATTGGTAGACTATATACTTTAAATTTTTCCAAAAGAAATTTCATATTTTGGAAAAATTCTAAATATGCTTCTGAATACAGCTGGATCTATACTAATTGAAGGTATCAAAATGAAAAAGCATACATTAAACATAAAAACCTACAGTTTTTTATTTTAATAACTATATGGGAAATGGTAGAGAAGGGCTTGAGTTCAAACTGAGGGCTTGGAACTGAGATCTTTTCGGAAGATCTAGAAGTCACATGCACTCAGCCAGTTAGTAGACCCAAAGGATCATCAAAGAAAAAAATCATACTTTATGAAGGATCATCTTTCAGTGTTGGAACAAAAGTAAAAATAATTCATTGAACTAAAAACACAGCTATTGAGTCAGGTGAAGTGGCCCAATTCTTATAATCTCAACAGTTTACTAGGTTGAGGCAGGAAGATCACAAGTTCAAGTCCAACCTAAGGAACTTAGCCACTTAGCAAGACCCTGCATGAAATTTCAAAAACTTTAAAAAGGGCTAGCTCTAGTCTTCAGTGCTTAAAAAATTAAATATTCAGCAGAGAGGGTAAACATAGATAAAGAATTAAAATAAGTGAAAAACTGTACAGAATGTATGGTGAGGCATTTCTGTATGGATATAAATGGGAATATTTTTAAAGGCTTCAATGTTAGAAATTAATACAATTGAAAACTTTATACCACAGCATGTATACAAGCCCATATTTACAATAACACCTAAATCTTGGAAACAGTATATATGTCCATCAATAGATAAATGGATAAAAAAAAAGTGGTATTTATACACCATGGAATACTATTCTCCTGTAAAGAAGGATGGACGTGAATCATTTGTAGGAAGACGGATGCTCTTTGAGACCATAATGTCACATGAAGGAAATCAGACACACAAGTTTAACTATCACGTGATTTCACTTAAATGAAAATCTTAACACAGAAATAAAATGCAAAGACTGATTATAGAAAAAAGAGAGGAGAAAACAGTTATTTTAATCCAGTATGGGTGATGTATCTCTAAGTGGACGTTAGTATAATTATATGCATTTTATATTTTGTGCCTTTTAGTCTTGCTTTTAATCTGTATGTATGATATTTAACTCTATAAGGTCTTATAAATGAGTCTGATACTAGCAAAATAAAGAGAGGGGGGAGAGAAAGGGGGAAGTGTTTCGTACAGGTACCAGTTCCCTACATTAAATGAAATCATTAGGTACTGCAAACATGTACTAATAAAAGCTTTAAAAAAAAAAGAAGTCAGTAAAAATACAAAATATATAAATCTTTTTGAACTTTTCTGACATAGGAAATAGACTGGACATAGAAACAGAAAAATTAAAGAGCAAATAAG